CCATTTTGGTTGCAAGTGAGATTATTTTAATATATCTTCCACTCTGAGTGCTCAGTGGACTCCGACTCCTATAGAACCTTGAGGTCGGATCATTTATGATAGCATGTATATTTTTCTTCAGGTTGGCCTTTGCTTTCGTGGGGCCGACTTGGGCTTTTCGAGTGGGAGATCAAACCTCGATTTTTGTCCTCTATACATAGATGCTCATCGACTCTTTTGACACATCGAAATCGGGGCTTCATTATATGTCCTCTGACGCGTGGTTATTAGGCAGGAACTCGACCTGAGCTTGTTCCGATGTGAGTTAGTTAAACTCCTAAGTATGGTTAAATTATGAGCTCTATTCTTTTCCATCTCGGATATCAACAACTCCAGATGTAACAAATATATTTAAAAACATAAAAAAATGTTTATATAAAAAAATGAATCGATCTAATCAGTCAGTTTTTAACCGATTCAACCGACCATATACCAATTTTCTACCAATTCTTTCACGACAAAATTATTTGAAAATGGCCAATCTGTTAAAGGGCCTGATGGACCAATTGCGATCGTGTTTTTCGCAAGCATCAGAGGAATAAAGTAACCATAATAACCGTATATATAAATGGACTGGTTCGAATAAAAATTAGTCTTAGTGTGAGAAACATAAGAATCGTATTTGATGTTATTTTTAAATGTGCATGATGCAATTTTTAATATTACATGGTGCTATCATTTTCACAAATGCTGATATAAATTGTGTTGCTATTTTTAATAAAATACATCATGGGTTAAAAATAGTCAAGTTTGGTTTTCTTTTTGGTTGGTTGTTTTCTAGGCCGCTTCATGTGTGTCCTCTCAGTCTTTGTTTCGGGTATTGTCCGTTGCATTCGAACCGTGTTCTCTTTGAGTTAATAAAATCTATCGTTTCGTAAAAAAAAACACTAAAACACAATCAATCATAACGCTATGTACAATTAAAAATAGCGATTCTCATGGTTCTCACGCTATGTATATATATAACTGTAGACTATTATATTAATACAATAGCCTACAAGTTCTCGCTCAAACTCATTTTTCGCTCAATATGGTAAGTTTTGATTTCTTTTTACTTTGTCTTTACATCTTAATTTTGTAAAAAATATTGCAATATTCAATAAAAGTTGTAACGATTATGATGTATGAACTAATTTAATTGTGTTATTGTTA